GTTCAAGGGTATGGTGTTAAATTGTGCTAAGGGACATGCTCGGGAACACGATGAAACAGCGTCCTCTATTCCTCTTTGTAGATGCCTGCTCTTTCAGCTATCAGAAGACATCACTAAAGATGAGCTGAAGTCTTTCAAGTTTCTTTTGGGGAAAGAATTACCAAAATGCAGGCTAAACCCTAAGACTGTAAGAATTTATTTAATTATTTTTTTTTTAAAATTATCATCCATAGAGGCAACTGGGTTGCTATGAGGGGAATGACCGTCAATCTTCTTATGGTGTCACTCTTATTATGGTGAAAACACCGTAAGAAAAAAGGTGCACCTGGAAAGGTATTATAGGCTCTCCCGTGCATGTGGGACTCGTCTGTGCTGGTGTTATGTGTAGCTTCTGCAGCAGTGACACAGAGCAGAGAGCCTGGGCCCGCCCTGTGCCAGGCACAGAGGCCTTTGTGTCCAAGCACCATGCGGGGCTTAGGGGACTCAGTGGCTTTGATCAGTGGGAGACCGATGAGTGTATCCACTCATCTTGCCCAACTGATTTTCTTTTGGCTGCTTTCGGAGCCATTACCAAACACAGAATATCACCCACTGTGGCTATTACTTTATGCTTTTGTTCTTTTAATTTCCAAACTTGGAAAATACGGATCTAAGCAGCAGATCCATACCAAGCCCAAGAGCTTGGAGTTTACAGATAGGCTTGTGGGAGATCCAGCTGCTCTTACACTATCTCAGCCTGCAGTTCTGACTGCAGGGTACTTTGTTCTGGGTAATGAAAACTCTTGCAGCATTTTCTCTCTTAGAGGAGAGACTGTGACCATGGACTGATGGCTGTTCTAGTAAATCCTTGGGGCGGCCACTGTGTTCTGCCACTCACTGTTTGGCAAGAACTCCTGTCCCTTGGGTCCCCTTTTGCTTCAGAGCAATCTCTACACCATACTCGCTTGGTTATACCCATTTTTGCCATTGCTCAAGATGGTCACTACAGTGATTCTTGTGTTTCAGTTAAGTGCACAAGATAGCCACTGGAAGTCAAATGACTGAAAGCAGTCGTTAAAAATGACATTACACGTTCCTGTATGATCACCATTAGATCTCCTGGATTAGATCTTATTAGATTTCAGCATCTCTGAGCTGCGGAAGGGAAATGAGTACGTTTTGAGAAGAGCTTTGTACTTGTAAGTTTTGTTGAACTGGGTTTAATTGACTCAGCTGAGGTCTCAACTGAGCTACCAGTCAGCTGGACCGACTCTGGGGAGTGCATGTGCTGTCAGTACATGAAAGCTTAGGTCACGTGCACATGTTGCAGCTTCCCTCCCAGTGGCAGCATGGATGTGCCCTAAGAGCAAACTACCTTTCTGATTACCCAGACAATGCTCGACGTTTTCATTGAGATGGAGAAGAAGGGGATTTTGGGAGAAGACGACCTAAGTATCCTGAAGAGTCTCTGTGCAAAAATTAACATCAGCCTGTTGAAGAAAATTGAAGAGTATGAATTTGGTAAAACAAAATGAAACAAAAAGGCCTCTTTCCTATAGTTATTCTTGAAGTGACACATAGGTATCATACAGGACTAATAATAAATGATTTTCAGGTGAAGAAGAGATGCTCATCACAGGGGAACAGAGGGGCAGCAGAGGAGGCCCTGAAGGTAATTGAAACTCTCAAAAAATCAATGTTTAGGTTTTTCGCTCTAGTTCAGCTTTTGGACTCTTTACACCACTTGCGTCTCACTTTTTTACACAGTTGCCTCTCTAAAAAGTGATCAAGTGTCCAGTTACTTACTAACTGATCACATTTTACTCCCTTTTACTTGATTACCTAGCGGCTTATTGAACAGCCATTCAACTGTTCAGTGTTTTCAGAGAACAGTTTTACCCCGGGTGGTACTTGTGGAGATGGAGAATAGGAACAGAGCTTCTCTCCTTTCTCTAGTGCTACGTTCTGTACTTAAACTTTTTTGTCTGTGTTCAGCCCATGTCAGATGGCTGGCGTCATCTGTGGCATCTGATTCTCCTGGCAGTTGGAATGAATCTTCCCAGGTAAGTTAGTTTGTTTCTTAGAAACATCATTTTATCTCAAAGAGATCATCCCTCCATGAAGTGAACAGTTATTACAAGTCTGACTGTTAAAAAGCGCTGTCTAGAAAAAGAAAAATGCACCACTTTGTAATATCCTTTATTCTGAAGCTAAGTCACAGGCAGCAGCCACTGCAGCGTTAAAACTTCAGAAACGTTTGCAAGGGTAGCAAGATAGGCCAAGTTTATTATACTGGGAGATACACAGTTGGCAGATGGCTGGGCGTGGAGAAGCAGGAGAGCGCAGCACCCCATGTGGGCTGAGCGTGATGATGTAGGTCACTCTGCACACAGACTCCCAAAGGCGGTGGGGCAATGCATTGCCAGGTCCTGGGAGTCAAAGCTGTATAGGGAAAGCTGCCTAGAGAGGAAGCCAGCTGGCTCGTTACCCTGCTGTGCCACTTAGCAAGGGCTGAGAAGGGCCTGGAGGAGAGTGCAGTAGTTTCACCAGTAGTCTTTCTTTTCGACAGCTTGAAGCTTACAAAATGACTAGCCGACCCCGTGGAGTGTGCCTGATCCTGAATAATCACAGTTTTGCAAAAGCCAGGGAAGCAGTGCCAGAACCCAAAAATATGAAAGATCGAAACGGGACGAACGTGGATGCAGGTACCGTGAACATTACAGATGAGTTTGCGTGCCTTCAAAAATAGAAACCTCACTTCTTTTCCTGCATTAAAGGTCTGAATTTCAACCTTCCCTTTCTAGGATACTTCTGTTGTAGTGGCTGAGTCAGCTCTGTTTCCTGTGCTGACACACCCTAATCAACTCATCAAGCTTTTACTGGCTGACTCGGAACAGTCCACTAGGATTTTGCTGGTTTAACTGCAACCTTAGGCGGCAACCTTAAGCAGCAACCCCAGCCTTTTCCTGCATTAAAGGTCTGAATTTCAACCTTCCCTTTCTAGGATACTTCTGTTGTAGTGGCTGAGTCAGCTCTGTTTCCTGTGCTGACACACCCTAATCAACTCATCAAGCTTTTACTGGCTGACTCGGAACAGTCCACTAGGATTTTGCTGGTTTAACTGCAACCTTAGGCGGCAACCTTAAGCAGCAACCCCAGCCTGGACCTTACACGCTAGGCTAGCTTTGTGTCAGCCTTAC